CGACTTATCAAGAAATTTTTAAATATAAAAAAAAAGGGCTGGAAATTTTTGTCCGAGTTAGGCCAAATCCGACTTATCGAGTTTTACCTATGTAAGACAAAAAGCATTCAAATGTTTATTCCAAATTGATGAAGATCACAGCCTTCCTTATGTTGATGCAATTATGAAAAAAGCGCAGGGAAAGAAAAAGACATGACATTTACTTTAGCTGTTTGTGAAATTGTACATCCAAAAATATCTGATAGTGATAATACTCTTCGAAACAGTTATGAAAAATATTGAGTAATTATTTTTTAATATTCTCACTTAATATTAATTATTCATTGAGCACTTTCTCCAATCCTGAAAACCTATTTGTGCAAATTTTTATTGGTTAATATATATTGTATATATATTATTACTATATAATTAGGATTGTATAAATAATTCACAAATGATAACTGCAAATATTACCAAATCTATCAGATCAGATGGTAATGTAAAAAAAGGACAATGAGAATAGTGAGAACTCATAATAATAATAATAATAATAATTAATAAACTTTATTGCTATTAGTAATATAAATTTGACAAATTTGTATCATTGCGTATTGATTTTTAATGTGGTTCATTTTAATCGAAATAAAATAAAAAATTCCGTATAAATATATATAGAAGGAAAATCAAGGAATTCTTCGGGGGATATTTTTCAGGGGTTCTCAGCAGATCTTCGCGGGTGGCAAAGGAAGGATCCCTATTAATAAAATTTGGGGGAATCGTCTAGCTCAAAAGTTTCCTGATGAAGTCACAAAATTGTAAATTTGAAGTATTTTTCAAAAATGACAAAGGTTTTGGATTAAGACTTTTAGAGCCTTTAAAGAAGTTAGAAATAGATATATTTATATATACATATATATATATATATATATACTTATGTATTAATAGATTACTATTACTTTTATAGAGGTCGATTCATAACAGAGTTTCCAGAAGCATCATCAAGTTATGAAGATTTGAGTGATATTACAGATCAATGGTTAACACAAGGTTTGTGGAATGTTGTTCAGGACAAAACAACCATCCAGGTGCGTGAATATATCTACTACTACTAATGTGTATCTATATACATACATTATAAAAATTTAATTAAAAATATAACTACCGTAGGATACAAAACAACTGGGCGGTATAATGTCCAAGTATATTAGTCATTCAAATGAGGCAAATTGTGTTGTTCAGAAATGGCAGGTGGGAGAATTAATAATGACTGGACTATACGCAAAAAGAGACATTGAACAGAATGAGGAACTTTTCTTGGATTACACAGTTCCTTATACCGGGTAAATTATATAATATAATTAAATTGATTGATTGATTTTTTCTAATGATTGGAAGCTCTAAATTAATAATAATTAATAATTTTTGTTTTTAAAAAAATTAAAGGCATGGAATCATTGATCCTAAGCCTGATCCATTAATTGCAACTGATAAGAACTTTTCCGACAATCTCGGAAAACCAATTGAAAATGCTGATGATGTAATTAATTTCAGAATAGATTTGTTTCGTTGCACACACCGGTTTGATATGGCACCACAAGTATTGGGTAGATTATCGGTAAATATATATATAAATATATTTGTTTGTTAGTATGAAGTTATTTATAAATTTATATTATTGATTCAAAAAACCACTTAGATTACCAATGATATAATTATTCTCGGATTTTTTATTGAAGCACTAGGACTTGATGTGTTGAGAGATTTGTTGAAAGGAGATCCTCCTAATCTTGTCACTATTAAAAAGGTATCTTCTTTGGTTCGTTTTTTTTTTTGTAAAATTATATATATATATGTATATATTTTTAATTATGGCATAATTAATTTGTATGTTAGATATTGGAAATACTCAAGAAATTGCCTTGTGACAGAAAATATTTAAAATTTTATAATGATTCAAAAATCAAAGAAACACTAATAAAATTAGCACCTAAAATAGTACAATTCAATGATTTGTTTCAACATGTAAGTAATTTTTGAACATTAATTTGCTCAATAAATAATAAATATGTTATTTATTTACTATTTACTAAATGAAATATAATAGCTCCTAAAAAAATGGACAGAAATTGAACCAAAGACTACACCTAGAAAACCCACACCAATACCATTACCACCTTTGCCACCAGTGCCATCACCCTTTTCTGTATCATCACCTTACACTGCAACCATTAAATATGCTCCCAGATTCGAGCCTTATTATAAACCAAGAAATTATTATGCTCCTCATAAACCATCACAATCATATACTACTTCCACAACAACAATAAATGATCCGCAAAGAATAGCAAAAGAAGATAAGGGCAAAGCACCTGCTTACGTTGGACCTGTCAGAATGAGACATCCTTTACCGCCGCCTCCACCACCACCACCGCCGCCGCCGCCACCACCACTTCCACCACTTCCATCTTCACCACCTCCATCAACCTCTTCTTTTTTAACAAACAAAGAATCAGTTGAAAAGTCAAGTAACGGTTTAAAATCAAAATCATCATTGTCATCATCATTGTCATCGGCAAAGTATGAATCATATCCTAAGCAAAGAAAACAAAATACACCTATAAAATCATCCCAACCAACTATAATAAGGTTAATGTTGTTGATGATGAATAATTTAATTGACATCAACAACAACAACAACAATAATAAATAATTTCCTAATAATTTTTATCAGTGTAATACACCAACTACCAACCTTATCATTACAGAACCATGTTTTAATCTACCAAATATCCAAACAACCTATGATGAAATGATATTTGAAGTATATGAATTTAAATCTTGTTTTAGGACAATTGGTACATACAATTTAATAATATTATTGAAAACCTTTAATTTAATATTAACAAAAAACCTTTTACTTGGTGGTGTAATAAAATAATATTAAAATAGCACCATGGTTATGCATTCAAAATGATATGACAATGTTGTTGCATCAAGATCATCAGAATTCTAATAGTAGCAATAATAATATTAGTAGTAATAGTAGTAATATTGGAAGATCTGAATGCATGTTAGTTATTGATTCTGGATATTCTTTTACTCACATCATACCATTTATTATGGGAAAACCAGTTTTATCTGCTATTAGAAGGTATCTTTTATACTATAAAAATTTTGGTAATTATTTTAATTATTTAATGATGATGATAATTATAAATCAATAATATCATGATATAATATTTTTATTATTTAAAATATATTAAGGATAAATATTGGAGGAAAATTTTTGACAAATCATCTGAAAGAAATAGTATCATTTCGGTAAATTATTTTAACAATTTGTGTGAAGAAAAGAAAATTTTTTTTATCTATTTTCTAATTTAATAACAACAATAATAATCATTACTATTATTATTATAGATATTGGAATATGATGGATCAAACTTATGTTATGAATGAAGTCAAAGAAACTTGTTGTTATGTTTCTAAAGATTTTTTAGGAGATCTTGAAATTTGTCGGTAATGCAATTACTAAATAAATAAATAATAGATAAATTAATATACAATTTGTATATTAAATCTTCAATTTTATTTTATTTAATATTGGTATAGAAAAAGCACAAGAAATAACTCAATTGTGCAAGAATATGTTTTACCTGATTATTCTAAAAATCCAAAGGGATATGTTAGGGTATGGTAAGGAATAATTATAGATATATTGATTAATTTATTATATTAGAATTAATATTCTATTTAACATGCAAAAATAAAATATACTTTTTGAAAGGAAAGAAAAGCCAGTGGAAGAAGAAATAATTATTCAGATGAACAAGTCTTATACATGAACAATGAAAGATTTACTGTGCCAGAGATATTGTTTAATCCTTCTGATATTGGTATTATTTTAAAATAATTGATTTCAAATCAAAAAATTAATTAATTAATTAATTAATTAATAATGTTGTTGTTAGGTATGGATCAAGCAGGTATACCAGAAGCAATTGTAGCATCAATTAATTCAATTAGCCCTGGTAGGATTTTTTAGGCATAACTATTTTTTAATTGAATAACAATAACAAATTGTTATTGTGATAACTGACACCTATTAATGAATTTTAGATATTTTCCCTTTTCAGGTAAACAATATAGATACACAAGGGCTATTCTATGAAAATGTTTTATTGGTTGGTGGTAATAGTTTATTTTCTGGATATAAGGAAAGAATGTAAACTATATGATTTATGACTATTTTGTATTATATAAATAATATTATTTATTATTTATATCTAAAATTATATTTATATTTATATTATTAGCGAAAAAGATTTACGTGTACTTGCACCATCAGATTATGAAATTAAAATCGGAATTCCTGATAAGTAATTAAAATTAAAACTAAAATTAAAATAAAATAAAATTTTTTATTATAATATTAATTCTCCGATCAATAAATAGTCCAATCACATATGCATGGCATGGTGGCTCTAAATTTGCCAAAACTAACGAATTTAAAGATATGTCAGTCACAAAATCTGAATATGATGAACATGGAAGTAATATTTGTTTGAAAAAATTTGGTAAAGTAATGATTAATTGATAGTAATAATAGAATTGAATGGCACATCAAATAAAAGTAAAAAAAAATCAATAAGGTTTTTTATACATGACATGTTTAGTCGCAAAATTTTATTGGATGTGTTTGAAATCTAAGGATTTTAGAATACAATTCTGTGATTGATATGTCACGTTATCATGGAGGCTAAAATTTAATGTTAATTGGTGCACTTGAGGGTCGAAAGTTTCAAGTTCAATGTACACCCGACCTCCATCAGAACGGGCTTTTTAATAATTACGTAAATACCATAACAGCATTACACAAAATTTATATTACAAGTCAGCTTAGAACATTATGTCACAAAGAAAGTTTGACGTCACAATTGTAATGCTTTATCACCCATTTAAAAAAAATATATCATTCATATGTTACACACCCAAGACAATGTTTTGTGAATTTTTTGTATCGTGTGACGGATGACTGTTCGTATAATTGCATGCGTGAATGTTTGACATCTATTTGTTTTTAAACTAGCCTATTTCTGAACATTTTAAGCCAGTTCAAGGGGAATTAGACACAGGTTACAACAACTAAGAATTCCTTCAAATAATTTGTAAATCACACGCAAATTTTAAATGACTTGCGTGAAGCAGTCTGGTACAACTATTTACTTGAATCTTTAGATGGTAAAGATAAAATCGAAAGGAAGTAAATGAATTTATTACGAGTGTTAGAACCAAAAAAAATCAACTATATTCTAAATCATCACTTAAGAATGCTATTGCTAGTATCAGTCGACACCTCAGAAATGTCAAAAAAGATTGGAGCTATATACAACTTATGCAAAATAAACAACCCCAAAAGAAGTTTTAAAAGACAAATTAGTCGCGGGAGAAATCGGTTGATTTTACTGCCAACATTCAGGACATGAAAAAAGTAAAAGTTGGTGATACTATTCTGAATTTAGATAATAATTCTTTGCCACTGCAAGGATACCAAGAAGCAAAACCGAATGTTTATTCTAATTTATATCCTGGCAACCTCATTTCCGGATTTTCATCAAAAGTACTTTCTCCTTTTCAATAATATAAAAAAGTAGAGCCTCAGGCTACAGCCCGGGGCGCCGCCACTTTTCAAAATTAAATGGTATTTTAGATGGACGTCGAAAAACAAGGCTAGGCGAAGCTAAACCATATGATACTTTAACTAATAAAGAAGTTAAATTAATATTGGATCACAATTTTTGCTCTCCAAATAATCTAACTGGTTTACTTTATCGTGGATATGTTTACTTGGTTGTACTAGAGATGGTGAACAACATTATTTGCTCATTTCACGATTTGAGGATACGGAAGATGTTTTTATGCTAAAAAAGTATCAGATCAAGGTGGTATCGAAAGAAGACAGACATCTCGTGTTATTTTTAAAGAATTATTAATTGAAGTTGAATCGCCAAGAATTGATCTTGATGGTTCTAAAGCATGGATCAAAGTATCCATAGCAGCAATATGTTATTTTTCATTTACTTCTTTATACGCACGAATACCTTGTATTCTTCTATGACCTGTTGTTCAATTTATTTGGAATTCGTAATCTTATAATTATAATTCTTGCGAAATTATTCAAATTTAGTAACCCAATTTCGAGTTGATTTTTCAGTATTTGAAATACTTTGAGGAATAGAATTAACAGGTAAAGTAGAAATAGAAGCCTCGGAAACTTTTAAGGAAAGGAGCAAACTGCATTAGTAAAATAGGTTGAAATGCTTGTTTGGTAAATTGTAATTTTTTATCGTAAGCAAAAAAAAGACTTTTATGTAAAATAAACTTTTTTCATCACGGGCGTTAGTCTCCGTGAAATAACCATTACATATTAATATGTTATCTTAAAAATAATAAAATAATAATAATAAAGATATAGAAGAATAACATTTCCTTCAAGCTTCCAATTATTTTTTATCTTTCTTTTTTAAATTGAAATTGGTTAATGTAATCAGTCTCCAACACAATTCTATCCCAAAACCTTTCCATGCAAATCTTGAAATTCATA